CATCTTAGCTGTAGAGGGCAGTGTCACTGGCCCTCATATGTGGGATCTGAACCGGGGCCCTCTGGTGTCCCAAGCCAGCTCTTAACCAATGCACCACTCGGCTGGCCCGAGAGTTTGTATTTCTTAAAGGTCATGATATATCTAGATAGTTTACCCTTGAGAAAATACACATTACTTTGTATAATCAACAGATGAAATAAATAGCTAGGAAAACATAGACAGTAAAAAAATAAGATGTAAGGAACTGACAAAGGAAACTGAAGGAACAATTTACCCATTTTAATAACCATTGTAGTAGCAGTAACAAACGGATTTTAGCCTGGGTACATTTCACAAGTTAACTTTGGCTTCATGGGCTGCATGCCTGGTGGTAATGTTAGTGTTATACTATCTTGGAAGATGAAACAGAAAACCAGAAAAAGATTGGAAATGGACATTTTGGCTAATTATATGTATTTTGTAGGGACCAGAGCAGGTTGGGCTGTTCCACTATCAGTCTGCAATACCTGAACGCTTGAAGCTGTGTTTCCCTCTCTCATTTGAAAAGTTTAGTGTGTAAGAGCTAGTTATGGAAAGGAAAAAAGATAGATGAGGAAACTGTGTCATCTGCCATACTTCCCATATGGGTGCAAATGTGTGTGTGTAGGTGTATAACTGTTCACAATAGCATAACAAGTTCTTGAGAGTAGCGGATGTGTGTGTATATGTGTGTGTGTGTATTACATATATACATATATATTTATAAATTTTTTTATACTATATATATAAATTATATATTCTAAATATATACTGGGTTGTCGGAAAAGTCATGACATATTTTTTTCTGTTTTTTGTTACAAGAATGTGTCATGACTTTTCTGACAACCTAATATATTCTTATAGTCTAAATATATATATTTATTCTTAAGTATAAATATCTATATCTACATTTAAATTTATATTTATATTTATGGAGAATTAGTCATAGTGATTATTACATTAAGGTACACAAATTAAAGCTCTTCAGTTTGATAGGCAGGGCTTTCTATGACTTGTCTTCACCTTGTTTCTGCACTTGTTTCTTTCACTTCCACATAAGAACTTGTTCTAGGAAGATAAGCTTTTTTTCTGCCCCTGCTTTTTCCCTTCTTGTTTACGTTCACTTCCATTTCTTTGTTTAAGAGATTTACTCCAATTTTAATGTTCTCCCTGAGTGATCCCATCCTCTATCCTTGTTGAAGTCTGTGGCTGTTTTTGTTATTTGTTTCTTGCATTGTTGACTTCCAATTGAATTGCTCAGTGCACATAATTGTACCTTCCTCACTTTGAGCAGACAACACCATTTAATATCTTATTAGACAGATCTGGGTCATGTGGCATAAACACTTCAAAGCCTTCCCGTTTCATCTCAGAAGGTCTCTTTACAATATCTTCACTTACCTCATTTACTCTTCCAGCTCTCCACTTGTCAGGTAAGAGACAATTGGCACAATTACCGCAGCCTAATCATTTCTGTGTAGTTTCCTGCCAAATGTCAGAATGCTGATATAGAGCGCCACAGTACAGTGGGTATGGCTTAGCCCATTTCCTGGAGTGTGATGTTTAGTAAGGCACTTCCCCTCTGGGCGTTCTTCATGTTCTCATCCTAAAAATAAAAAGTGGTATATGCAACCCTGCTGGCTTTTTTTTTCTTCTCCCCTTCCTCCTCCTCCCCCTCCTCCTCCCCCTCCACAAATGTCTCAAAGATTGTCCTTTGTTGACTTCATGTCATTACTACCTTCCCACTTCTCAGCCTGGTAACTTAACTTCTGTTTCCATCACTTACCCATCACAAAACCTCAAATCTTTCCAATGTCTTCATATATATATATACATACACATACACACACACACACACACACACACACACACACACACACACACATACATCTCTGGAGGACTGCTGACCTCTGTCATCTGCAGTCCTCCTAATTCTCCCCCCTCTTTTAATGCAGTTAATCTCATTCATGCATTTTACAAAAAGTACTGAACATGTTACTTGCGCCAGTCACTCTGCTAAGTGTGGGGGATACAGTCCTGTTCTCTGTCCTCATGTGACCCTAGAGCCTGGTGGCAAAGAAAGACGTTAATTAACTAACCCAACCCAGAAATGTAAAACTGTAGCCATGATGAGAACTGTGACTGAGAAACATTATGCTATGAGAACACTTACTAGGAGGCTTTGATCCAGCCTGGTTTGTCCTTTGAGGAACTAGCCATATTGACTAAGACTGGAAGTATGAGGAGAATAACGGTGGAGAAGGAAGGGGTTGAGGAGAATGGTGTCTCTGGCAAGTGAAAATTCTGGGACAGGAGGGAGTATAGCCTGTGTGAGGTATTTAAAAAGATAGGGAAGAAGGGTAGATTGAGACGATCTGAAAGGGAAAAGAGACCAAACCATGCCAGACTTAAAATCATGGGAAGGAGTCTGTTCTAATTCTAAGTCAGTGGGAAGCCATTGTTTCATGTCTGTGTGTCATAGTGTATTTAGAAAAGATCTCTCTGGCTAATGTATGGCAAATGGATGAATGTATTAGAGAAGGGATGCAATTAAGAGGTGATGATACAAGTTTAGGCAACAGGTGATGCTTTTTGTAGTAGGGGTGGAGAATAGTAGACAGATGCAGGACATAGAGGGTGAAATGGATAGGTCTTGTTAATGGTGGGATTAGGGAGAGGGATATGTCATGGATGAGTCCTGGGTTTCTGGCTTACCAACAGTGGACAGTATTCCAGCTGCTTCTCTAAATGATCCCCAAGTGTGGTTGTTTCTCAAAGTGCTGTTCTCATCTCCTCCTTTCATACTCTCTTCCTTGGCGATCCTTCAATTTTCATGCTTCTGCTCCCATTTTTATAAGATGTTACCCAAACCACAATGCTATTTACTCCAGAGGGCACAAACTGGTAGCCCATTTAGCAGAGACATGTTTTGGTCATCCTTCAATATTTTTTAATTAAAAAACACAAATTACAAACATCTAGAAGCTTTCACATAAAATTTATATTTATAATTCTTTTAGAAACCGGAGGCTCCATCAACAATAAACCCATATTCTCTCATGTCTGCAGCTGGTCAGAACTGGGTGACAGCTGATCCTGTTAGACTGAACACGCATTTTCCACCTGGACATAGTCCCTGGCACCTGGGCCCCTGGCTCCCGCTCATTGTGTTTTTGTTTGGCCACTGCAGTACTGAGCCTTTAAACCTCAGATTTAGTCAATCACCTCAGAACGTAGAACACTCCAAGGAGAGAGGGCACCTTATCAGCATCACACCACTAAAACCAACTGAACCAGGGCTTAAATCCCAGTCTTTCTACTCCCTACACTGAATTCCACTGTCACTGTGCTCTGGCATCCAATCATTTGACAGTTAGCACTATAACGATTGTTAGATTAAGGTATTTGACCAGCTGTATTGTAGGCATTTTATGTTCGCCCATTTGAATTTTTTATTTTAGTGTGAAGGTTGTTTATATTTTAAATTATATGAAGAGTGAAAATATTACTCTTTAAAAGCTTGCTCTTATCACTGTTCTTTTTTTCTTTCTAATTTTCTTCTAGAACTCTTAGAACGATCTCTGGCCCTTTTAAACAAAAGTCACCAACTCACTGACTTCATAGAGAAATTCAAGTGTGATGGACCTAATGTAAACCCCGAGTTGATCCAGGGAGCTCACAACAGCTGCATGAAGATTGACAGCCTTCTTGAACTTCTACAAGACAGGAGACGGCAACTGGACAAGTTCCTGAAGCAGCAGCGGCAGGAATTGAGTCAAGTTCTGCAGATATGTCAGTGGGACCAACGAGAAAACCAGGTAACCCAATGAGGCATTGATGACGTCCTGACCTCGGCTCATGAAGCCGGATTAGTATGTGTACTAGCTGTTTCCGAGGACAATTTCTTAGGTATCATGGTCAAATTTCTTTGGTCTTTGGTCCAAACTACCTAAACAAGTAATATAAAAACAAATGTTTTTATTTCCTCTCATTACAATATTGATTTTATAAATGGGAGAGTTACCCATGAGCAGTTTTGAAAATGACTGAGTGCTATTGTTGGATTCTCTTTCTCACTTCCTTCTGGTCATTACTTTTAGGCACATTTCTTTGGAATTCTGAAATGTTCACTGCAGTCTTCTTGAAAGTTGGTGCTGGATTGTGCTAGGCTGCTGCTAATGTCAGGGAAAAAGGCTATTAGCACAAACTAGAGATAATGTTTTGAGAATAGTAGTCTGGTGCCAATGAGGAAATATGACCTTGGTCTATGGCTGGATGCTCAGTGGTTAGAGGGCTTTGGGGTGGGAGGTTGATGAGTTTGCAGGCTTAATAGAGCTCATTATACAGGCTGCAGGCACAGCTCTGATCAGTTGCCATTGCATTCGCCATGCGTCCCTTCTGTCCCAATCACTCAGAGTTAAGAGTAGGTAAAACTCTCTTTGCAAAACCCCAATTCAAACAGGTGGGATATTTACTACAATATTTCTAATTGCCCCTATCCCATGCTTAAATCTATTCAGATTAAGTGGAGGAAAGTTTGAGAGAGAAATGATGTGGGAAGTCTCCTGGTCTGGATGCATAGGAAAGGGGTCTCTTCACATGTTTTATATTATTGCTCTAATCCAAACTGGAGAAACAGACATACAGCTGGGACCGAATGTGAGTCCAAGAGAAACTGGTTCTTATTTCAAGCTGGAAAAAATGAGGACTTAAATGATGAACATCTCAACTAATATTACTAAGTACTTACTACATACAGGTCCTATTATAAGTACTGGGAATACATATTATAAAGCCCCTTTTCACTAGGAATTTTCCTGCTAACGCAGTTTCTCAGCCTCAGCACTATGGCCATTTGGTGCTAGGTAACTCCTCTTAGAAGGCTGACCTGTGCTTTCTAGGATGTTGAACAGTATCCCTGACCTCTACCCACTAGATGCCAGGAGAACATACTCGTTATGACAGCCAGAAATGTCTCCAGACATTGACAAATGTTTCCTGGAGGGCAAAAATTATCCCTAGATGAGAACCACCGTTGTAGTGTGGTGAGAAAGACAAATAATAAATGACCAAAGGTAAATGCTATGACAAAAATCAAATAGGGCGATGACCTTTGACTTGACTTGTGTTGGTCTACTTTTAATCAGAGGAGGAATCAGAGAAGGCCTCTTTGAGGAGGTGGCACAGAGCAGTGACCTAAATGCAAACACCTCCAGTTATATATATATTCTGCTAGCATTTTTGTTGCCGCCCCCTCCACGTCATTATATACTTTCCAAGCCATCCCCGCTGTCAGCTTTTACCTTGATCTCTGCCAGCTGCCATTCTGTTTCTGTTGTGCTGTGCCTGCCATCTGCCACCTTCTCCCCAGTTTAGCTCCTCCCCGACCCCACCTTCACATGCTCATTTCCCAGGGTACTTTATCCAGTGCAGTAGTCTTTCACTGATGATTCTGGTATAACAGACGGGAATTAATGCTCAGGACAAGAATCAACTTAAAATTGTTTATCCATCAACTCTTTCCAAAGTTACTTGTCCTCCTATCATAAGTGGGTCTGTTATGGCACTGTCTTCCTTTCTCCCTTTCTCTCTCCTAATCTTGACCTGACACCATGTTCCCGGAGCTCTTGTCGTCTTAATGAAACCTTTGTCTTATCTCTTTTCATTTAGGTCATAACCCCAAACACCTTTCTCTACTCTTTCCAAGAACACACTAAAAACTATTCTTACTTTATCATACAGAATAGTTTACAGCAGCCCCCTCCTTATCCGCAGTTTCACTTACTGTGGTTTCAGTTACCTGCACTCAAATTTGGTCCAAAAATATTAAATTGAAAATTCCAAAAATAAAAAATTCCCAAGTGTTAAATTGTGTGCCATTCTGAATAGTATGTTGAAATCCCGCACCATCCAAACCCGTGGGTGAATCACCCTTTTGTCCAGCATATCCGTGCTTTCGGCACTGCCCACCTGTGAGTCAGTCAGTAGCCATCTCAGGTATCAGGTCAACTGTCACAGTTGTCTGGTTGTTCAGTTAACCCTTATTTTACTTAATAATGGCCCCAAAGCTCACAAGTAGTGATGCTGACAATTTGAATACGCCCTATAGTGCTTCAAGTGAAAGGTGAAAGTTTTTGACTTAGTAGGCATTTTATCACCTCATATCATCACTACAAGAAGGGTGAGTACAGCACAGTGAGATATTTTGAAAGATATATTTTGCATAACTTTTATTATAAGATATTGTTATAATTGTTCTAATTTACTATTAGTTATTGTTAATCTCTTAATGTGCCTAATTTATAAATTAAACTTTATCATAGGTATGTATGTATGTACAGAAGAAAAACAGTATATATGGGATTTGGTATTATGTGCAGGCATCCATGAGGGATCTTGGAACCTATCCCCCACAGATAAGGGGGGGCTACTGTATCCCTTTTAAATCACAGCCTCTCTTATGGAGATTAACATAGAGACCTTCTCTCTGCAGAGAAAAAACTCATGAAAGAGGCTTCCCAAACACAGAACAATTTCCCTAAGAATGAAAAAGCAGCTACAGTTAAGTTTATTTATTTAGTTTTAAGATAGCAATTTTGCTGTCTTGATCCTTGATTATGACAATAGTTATCCGCTTGAAGGAGGGGAGAACAGGGGAGGGGAGAAGAGGGGAGAGGAGGAGGAGAGAAGAAAGGAAAAAAAGGGAGGGAGGAAGGAAGGAAGGAAGGATCACATGAAGAATCAAAATGAACATTGTAACCCAGTCACATGCTTAATGGGACTCTAGATACCTCACCAACCCTGGAAACAGAAAGGTATCCTGATAATAACTCAAGTAAGGTATTGCGGAAGGTTTCTGACATGGCGAGTTCTCTAATTTATGGGGCCTCATTTTCTGGAGAAGGTGTGTGTGTGCTTTTTTGGCAG